TCCCCCCTCCACTCTTCTCTTCTCTTCTCTTCTCTTCTCTTCTCTTCTCTTCTCTTCTCTTCTCTTGTCTTCTCTTCTCTTCCTTTCACTGGGAATCAAACTCAGGGCCTCATGCTTGCCAGGCAGGCACTGTGCTGCAGAGCTACATCCCATGCCCTGCATTTTTCAATGTCCTCTTTAATCTTCTTTTTCAGAATACTGTAATTTTCTTTGTAGAGGTGTTTTACTTCCTTGGTTAGTTTAATTGTAGGGTATTTCATTTTTCTTGAAGCTACTGTGAATGATATTGTTTCCAAAATTTTCTTCTCATCAAGTTCATTATTGGTGTGCACAAATGCTAATGCTTTTTTGGGTGTTGATCTTGTATCCTGCTACATTGCTGAAGTTGGTTATTAATTCTGAGTTTTTTTGTTGGAGTTCTTTAGGTCTTTTATGTAGAATATCATGTCATTTACAAATCATAATTTGAGTTCTTTCTCATATATATATATATATAGCTTATTTTTTTCTCTTGCCAGATTGCTCTGGCTAATGTTTCAAGTACTATATTGAATAAAGTGGTGATAATGGACATTATTGTCTTGTTCCTGATTTTAGGGGCAATGCTTTTAGTTTTTCTGCATTTGGTATGATAGTGGCTATTGGTTTGTCATAAATAGCTTTTATCATATTCAAGTATGGTCCTTCTATTCCTGTTTTCTTCAGGCTTTTTATCATGAAGGGGTGTTGGGTTTTGTCAGTTCTTTTTTACATCTATTGATATGATCACGTGATTTTTGGCTTTGCTTCTGTTTATGTGATGTATTACATTTATTGACGTACATATGTTGCAACATCCTTGTATCTCTGGGATGAAACCTACTTGATCATGATGTGTGATCTTTTTGATGATGTGCTGCATTCTATTTGCTAATTTCTTGTTGAGGATTTTTACATCTATGTTCATTAAGGAGATTGGCCTATAATTCTCCTTTTTAATTGAATCTTTTTCCAGTTTTGAGATCAGGGTAATACTGGCTTCCATAAATGAATTTGGGAGCACTCCATCCCTTTCAGTTTCTTTGAAGAGCTTGAGGAGTATTGATGATGTAACATCCTTAAAGGTTTTGTAGAATTCAACAGTGAATCCATCTGGTCCTGGGCTTTTTAAAAATTTGTTAGATTCTGTATTACTCTGTTAATTTCATTGCTTGTTATTGAGTTGTTAAACATATTTATATCTTCTTAGGTTAGTTTGGTAGTTTGTATGTGTCTAGAAATCTGTCCATTTCTTCAAACTTTGCTTATTTAAAATTTTTCAAAGTTGTTACTATCTTCTGGATTTCCACAGTGTCTGTTGTGATTTCACTTTTTCATTTCTAATTGCATTGATGTGATTCTTTTTTTACTTTCTCTTGATAAGTCTGGCTAGGGGCTTATCTATTTTTATTCTTTCAAAGAACTTCATTTATTTTTCTTAATGTTTTTTTAGTCTCAGTTTCATTGATTTTTGCTCTCATCTTTAAAATTCCCTTCCTTATTTTTGGTTTGGGGCTGATTTGTTGTTGTTTCTCAAGTATTTTAAGATTTCTCATAAGGTTATTTATTTGGGCGCACTCTGTTTTCCTAATGTGAGGATTGATTGCAATGAGTTTTCATCTTAGAACTACTTTCATAGTGTCCCAAAGGTTTTGGTGAATTGTATAGTCATTGTCATTAACTTGCAGAAATTTTTAATTTCTTCTTTGATTTCTTCTGTAACCCATTGGTTGTTTAGGAGTATGTTGTTAATTTTGCAGGAGCTTTTGCCTTTTCTGAAATTTCTTCTGTCATTGATTTCTATTATCATTGCATAGTGGTCTGATACTGTGCATAGGATACTGTCAATTCTTTTATATTTACTTAAGCAGGCTTTCTGGCCAAATATGTGTTTTGGAAAAAGCACCATGTGCTGCTGAAAAGAATGTGTAGTCTGTCGTAGAAGGGTGGAATATTCTGTAGATATTTATTACATATGGTTTGGCTCTGATTTTTCTTTATTGATGTTTTTGTTCAGTTGGTTTGTGTTTTTTTTTAGAAGTGAATGTTAAAATCCCCTACTATGATTGTGTTGGTGTTTATTTGATCTTTTGATTTCAGAAGTTTTTATTTTATGAAGATAAATTCTCTAGTATTAGGTGCATATATATTTATTAATGTTATCTCTTCTTTTTAGATTATGCCCTTAACTCATATGTAGTGACCTTCTTTGCCTCTTCTAATTAGTTTTAGCTTTGTGTTTACCATGTCTAATATTAGAATTACTATCTCTACTTGTTATCAGAGTCCTAGTGCATGGTATATTATTTTCCATCCTTTAATTTTTAGCCTAGGACTATCTTTTGGGATCAGATGAGTTTCTTGAATGCAACAAACTGTTGAATTCTGTTTTTTGATCCATTGTGCCAATTCGTGCCTTTTAATTGGAGAATTCAAGCAGTTAACTTTGAAAGATATTTCTGAGATGTGTTGATTATTTACTGTGTTTGCTTTCTTTATCTATTGGTGAATCCTTTTTCTTTTTCTGACTTTTTTTGTTTCTGTTTATGCATTGACTTTACTCTTGTTTTTAGCAGTGTCAGTTTTGTTATTTCTGTCAAGAAATCCACAGTTATAGTGTAAGCATCATAACAGCCCAGCTAATGACCCATAGCTAATATGTACTAAATGTGGTGGCTATATCTCTTCTAATGGTTAAAAATGCATTCAACAGTAATTTTATAGAATCAATTATCTAAAGCCCAGGGAGTTGGGGACTGGGCAATGACAGAAGGGGAGGGAAGAAAAGGGGGGAAAAAGTTTTTTTTAAAGCCTTCTGCTATGTGATATGGGTGGGGGCACAGGATCCTAATATTGGTAGAGGTATGTTATATATTTAGATGCAGATAACAGAGAAAACTAGGTATAAAAAAATCAATAATGAGTCCAGCTCTCATTCTGTAATTGTGGCCACAGGCTCTGGTCTGAGTCACTTACTGACTGTTGACTGAGGAAAGCCACTCTGGAAGCAATATCCCACGTTTTCATTGCAAGCTTCAACCACTGATGGTTCTCTCAGTTCCAGTGCAATTCTCTCTTCCTTGTGGAATGTTCTACGGTAGTCTCCTAATAGTGTTCTTTGAGTTAGACTCTTCAAATTAGAATTCAGACATGGATACCACATTGTGTTTGGTTAATCCAGTCTCTTTCCATTTATGATAGTTTCTTTTCTCTGTGTTTCTAGTTTATGTTCTCTGTCTCTCCAATGTGGCTCCTTCTCTATTCAGCCATGTTGGATTTTCCAGATCCTTCCTTTGCTATGCATCTTTCCTCAGCTTCTGTGACGTGTTTCCTCATTAGTCAGCCATGTTGAATTCCCTATTCCAGACTTTTGCCTTGTCCAATATTGTACGCATTGTTTGGCTGGCACTTCTGCTGTTCCATGCAGAGGGGAAAAAATACAGAACCAGCTCCAAGTTGGCAGTGGCTGAGCCAAGGTGTGGAATCCACAGTTGTGGAGTTGGTCAGGCACCATGCCACAGGTCCATGTGTTCCGCAAGGTCCATGGGTCTGTGTATCTTACCAGGGCTGCTGGTCAATAGGTTCTACCCCACTTGCCTTTATTTGACTCACATACCTTTATTATGTCAGAGAACATAACCTATGAAGACTTTGCAGAGACCCACCCAAAGGAAAGAACTACCAAAAGATTTAGTAAATTTTAATGGGCATTTTTCAAAGGTCCAGAGCACGCTGTAGTATTTTAGAGTTTTAAGTTCTTAAAGATAAGAAAAAGGAATCACCACAAACAGAAGTTTTTCTTAGTACTGGCACTCCACTTAGATTATCAGCCTTCCCTAGTAAAACAATGTCTTCTTATCCCCATCCCTCACACTCTCCTTTCATCCAGCTAGTGGAACTTAGACCCAGCTTTCCAAGTATAGCTGAGTACATACACAATTCTCTTATGCTTAATAGGCAATAAACAAAAATGTATTTCAGAATGCACTAAGAAGTCAGGATGCTTTTGAAAAAGAAGTTTCCTTAAGTTAAAAAATACCCGAATGTGTTTGTGTTTGTTCCTGTAGATGTCTACACTCCCTATCTTTGTTTGTATTATTTTGAATTTCTCTGCATCCTATCACTTGAGTCCGTCCTCATTTTAATTTTGTTCTTACTGATAAATATCATTTATAACTATAATTGTGATAATCACTGGAATGGTTTATTTGTTTGGTATTTTCGTATAGAAAATATGTACTTTCTCTTAGACTTTGTGGAGTATAGAAATGTTGCCTGGGCCGGGGATTTAGCTCAGTGGTTCCGGCGCCATCCTCCAAAGTGCAAGGTCCCGTGTTTGATCCCTAGTACCAAAAAAAAAAAAAGGAGAAAAAGAAATATTGCCTGTCTTAATATTTTTTTCATGACTTTGTAGTCATATTTGCCCTCACTTTTTGATTTTCTGTTCTTCTTAGTAAAGATTATGGTTCAAGTGTTTGCATAATAAAAGATTGACATTTTTATATTCTTTTACAACAAGTATGATTATTTTAATTTGCCTAATAGGCATATCTTTTGTTCTCCTATTCTTGTCAAACTTGCAGACTATTCTTGGTGCCATGAGGGATATGGTCAAACACAGAACTTCTATTTTCATTGCACATAGATTGTCAACAGTGATTGATGCAGATGAAATCATTGTATTAGACCAGGTAAGAGATTTACTGTAAAACTTAGTATTTCAAAAACATTGAAATGGTTATGAAAACAAGAAACTTAAATATTGTTTCTAATAAAATATACAGAATTTGTATTATTTGAATGAGTTTGAATGCTGATAGGATTCTACTTTAGCCCCTATTGTAGGAAAGTATGCATGTCATTTCCAAGAAGGGTTAAATTACATTAACTCACTCTTTATTAAAGTATTAGACCAGAAGTTTGTTTAGGAAAGTATTAAATTTTATCATATAAGCAGGTTTTCAAGTGTGTACCTATAAAATAAGTTTTCTGTGGTCATTTTTACTCTGAATAGAATCTTTGCTTAGTGTCTTTTGCTGTAATAATATTTTTTTTTACCACTTCAGTATTTAATGTCTAAGTGAAAAGTAATATAAAGTGATAATTTTCAAACATGGCCATTTTTATTTTGTTTTTCTACATGGAGTAAGTAAGAAAGTAGATAGCTTGCTGTATCTCTTCTAAGGGAATTACTATATAAGTGTACTATATAAAAGTTCTGAATAAGTCAGATGCCACATAAAAAAGGTATTTGTTTCTATTTTTGTAAAAAGAAATTCAGGACGGACAAACTAGAAACTAAAGCCATTGACTACATATAAGATAGGGCTAGAAAAAGACTGCAAGATATAGGGAAGGGAATGAGACATTCCTGAGTCTACTTTGTTACATAGCTTTTACTTATGAACCATGTTAATGTTTTTATATATTCAAAAATAAAATTAAGTCTACAATGCCACCCGTACCTATAATCCTAGTACTCTGGGATGCATAGGCAGGAGGACTGCATGTTCAAGCCCAGACAGAGCAACGTAGGGACTTATCAAGACCCTCTCTGAAAATTTGAAAAAACATACGAAAAGGCTGGTGATATAGCTCACTGTGAAGGCTCTGAGTTCAGGCCCTAGTACCATGAAATTTTAAAAAATGAAAAATTGAATTCAAGGAGAAAGAAGCAAAACTGCATATCAAATTGATAACTACATAGCAGAAAATTAAAATTAATCCAAGTAACTTTATATTTTTTAAAATTTTCATTCATTAATTTTATTGATACATTTTACATATACAATATGCTGACATTCATTATTGGGAATTTGTATTTTTACATAATGTATCTTGGTTCTTAATTTTTCCCCATTCCCCTGCCCTCCCTTCAACCCCTTTACCCCTCCCTATTTACAAAGACTTTGTTTCCATTTTTTCCTTTACTCATATTTATTCCTTTCCCTTCTTTCCTTTCCCTTACCCTTCCCACTTCCCCTTCCCCTTTGCACTTTTTTCTTCCTATTTCACATTATCTATTATATATTTTGATCTTTATTTCCACTTTCAGTTTCTTACACCAGAGAAACTATTCGGTATTTACACGTCTGTCTTACTTATTTCACTTAAGAGTATGGCCTTAATGTGCATCTATTTAGCTATGAATGTCTTTAGTTTCTCATTCTTTACTGCTCAGTAGTACTCCATTTTATTTTTTAAAAACCACATTTTAAAAAATCCATTATCCACTTGATGGGCAATTGAGATATTTCCAAGTTTTAGCTGTTACAAACTGTGCCACTATGAACACGAGTGCACATATATCACTATGGTATGATTCTTTTAATTCTTTGGGGAAGATCCCCAGCAGGGGAATAGCAGAGTCAAATGGGACCTCTAATCCTAGTTTTTTGAGTTATCTCCATATTGATTTCCACAGTGATTCACCAGTCTACATTCCCACCAACAGTAGAGAAGGGTTCCATTTTCCCCACGGCCCTGCCAGCATTTGTTATTGGTTGATTTTTTGATAGCAGCCATTCTTTCCGGGGTAAGGTGGAATCTCAGTGTTGTTTTCATCTGCATCTCTCAAATGACCAGTGATATTGAACAGTTTTTTCATATATTTATTTGCTGTTTCTACTTCTTTGTCTAAGAAATGTCTGTTGAGGGCCGGGAATTTGGCTCCATGGCACCGCGCCTGCCTCATAAGCACAAGTTCCTCAATTCAATCCTGGGTAGCAAAAAACAAAAACAAAAACAAAACAAAACAAAAAAACTGTTCATTTCAGATGCCCATTTTTGGATTGAGTCTTTAAATTTGAGAGGTCTGATTTTTAAAATTCTTTATATATTCTAGACTTTTGTCTGAGGAACAGCTGGTCGAAATTTTTACCTACATTGTGGGTTGTCTCTTCACACTGCTGGTGGTTTCTCTCCCTGTGCAGAAGCTTTTTAATAAGATGACATTCCAGTTGTTGATTGTTTGTGCTAGTTCTTGAGCAGCTGAGGATTTCTTCATGAAATCTTTTCCTACACTAATGTCTTCAAGAGTTCTACCTACCTCTCTTCCAGCTGGTTTAGTATTTCTGTTTTAATGTTTAAATCTTTGCCCCATTTTGATTTTTAGTTTAGTGCGTGGTGAGAGATATAGGTTTAGTTTTAATCTTTGGCAAGTTGAAACCCAGTTTCTCCAGTGCCATTTATTAAAGAGACTATCTTTCCTGCAGTGAGGGTGTTTCACTTCTTTGTCGAAGATGAGGTGGCTGAGTATATCAGAGTTGTTTCTGGATCTTCTAATCTGTTCCACTGATCCGTGTGTACCATGCTGTTTTTGTCACAGTATAGTTTCAAGTTGAGGATTGTGATACCCCCTACCTTGTCTTTCTTGCCTAAAATTGCTTTTGCTATTCTAGGTCTCCTTTTGTTCCAAATGAATTTTTGGATTGTTTTCTGAAGGTCTGTGAAGTGTGCTCTTGGAGTTTCAGTTGGGATTGCATTGAATCTATATAGCAGTTTTGGAAGTATGGCAGTTTTCACTATATTGGTTCTTCCTACTCAGTACAAGAGCAAGGGATGTCTTTCCATTTTCTGATATCTTTTTTATCTCTTTTCAGAGTGCTGTAGTTTTCAGACTAAAGGTTATTAATTTTTTTTATTAGGTTCATTCCTAAGTGTTTCATTTTTTTGGTTGGTATCGTCAATGGAGTTGTTTCTCCAGTTCCTCTCTCAGTGAGTCTGTTGTTCGTGTACAGGAAGGCTATTGATATTTGTTTGTTGACTTTATATCCAGCTACTCTACTGTATTTGCTTATTAAGTCTAGAAGATTTTTGCTGGAGTTCTTGGGGTCTTCTGTATAGAGTATCATGTCATGTGGAAGTAATGACAATTTAACTTTATTTCCTATCTTTATTCCTTTTACTTCTTTCTCTGGTCTAATTGCTGTGGCTAATGTTTCCAAAGCTATATTGAACAGAAGGTGTGATAGTGGGCATTCTTGTCTTGTTCCTGATTTTAGCATGAAGGATTTTAATTTTTGACCATTTAGATATTGGCTATTTGTTTTTCATAGATGGCTTTCATCAGGTTGCTTGGTCAGGGTGTATGATCTTCTTGATGATATTCTGCATGCTGTTTGCCAGTATGTTATAAAGGATTTTTGCATCTAAGTTCATTAGTGAGATTGGCCTATAGATCTCTTTTTTGGTTGGGACATTGCTTTTGGGATCACGGTGATGCTGGTTTCCAGAAATGAATTTGGGAGTATTGCTTCCAGTTCATTTTCACTGAGAGTTTAAACAGTAGTGGCAAAAGTTCTCTAAATGTCTTGTAGAATTCAGCAGTGAAGCCATCAGGGCCCAGGCTTTTCTTAGTTGGAAAGATTTTAATTATGTTTTCAGTTTCCTCGGTTGATATTGGGTTGTTTAGAATTTTTAGGTCTTCGTTCAACTTTGGTAATTCATATGTATTTAGTAATCTGTCCATTTATTCTCTGTTTTCCATCTTATTGGCATATAGGTTCTCAAAGTGGGTATTGATGATCCTCTGGATTTCTGCTGGGTCTGTTGTAATTTCACCCTTTTCATTCCTAATTGCATGGACTTTGGTCTTTTCTTTCTTTTTTTGATAAGATTGTCTAAGGGTTTGTCAATTTTGTTTACTCTTTTGAAGTTCATTTTTGGTTCATTGTTTTCTGCTATCATTCTCTTAGTCTCCATTGCATTGATTTCTGTTCTGATTTTTTTTGTTGTTCTGATTTTTATAATTTCCTCCATTTTATAAGATTTGGGTTTGTCTTGCTCTTCTTTTTCTACAAGCTTGAGATTCAGCATCAGGTTGTTTATTTGAGCTCTCTCTGTTTTCCTGATATTAGTACTCAATGCTATGAATTTTCCTTGTAAGAGTACTTTCATTGTGCCCCAGAGATTCCAATATGTTACATTGTCATTGTCATTTAATTGAAGGAACTGTCTGATTTCTTCTTTAATTTCCTCTGTGACCCATTGCTTATTCAGAACTGTGTTGTTCAATTTCCATATGCTTATGAAATTCTTGCAGTTTCTTTTGCTATTGATCTCCAATTTCATTGCACTCTTGCCTGATAATATACAGCAGATAACTTCAGTTCCTCTTCACTTATTTAAACATGTTCTATAAGAGAAAGAAATAAAAGGAATAAGGATAGGAAAGGAAGAAGTTACACTGTCATTATTTGCTGACACTATGATACTTTACATAGAAGACCCAAAAAACTCTGCCAAAGAAGTTCTAGACTTAATTGACAGATTCAGTAGAGTAGCTGGATGCAAGGTCAACACTCAAAAAACAATAGCCCTCTTGTACACAAATAACAAACTCACTGAGAGGGAAATTAGGGAAACAATTCCTTTTACAATAGGATCCAAAAAATGAAATATTTAGGAATCAATCTAAGAAAGGAAGCAAAAGACCTTTCCACTGAAAACTACAGCACTCTGAAAAAAGAGATCAAAGAGGATATAAGAAAATGGAAAGATATCCCTTGTTCCTGGGTAGGAAGAAGTAATATAGTGAAAATGGCCATATTTCCAAAACTACTATATAGATTTAATGCAATGCCGATTGAAATTGCAACAATATACTTCACAGAACTAGGGAAAATAGTCCAAAAATTCATTTGGACCCAGAAGAGATCTAGAATAGCAATTCTAAGCACAGAGACATGGC